AAAAGAAACATGCATACAATCTCATTACATTTACTAGGCCATTAAATTAATTCTCTTTATTCTCTAATTAAAACAAAACAGCAAGAACAGAAATAAGAGATATCTTTAAGTTATCAACTAGTAGATAATAGTACAGTCAGCAGACGGATGGTAGTAGTAAAAATGAGAGAAAAAATAACGTTGTGACTTTCAGTGCTAAGCTGCGTAAGTCTGTCATGATCACAAACTGCTATATGAATATTAAAAGGAATGCTTTCTAGTATCCCAATTATTGTATTCAGCCAAGTACTGCTTTTAGAGGTACAGAGTACAATTTGAATTACGGTATTGAAAATAATTATGGAAATTATACATATAAAGTAGTAATTGTAATTAAAAGGTTAATTTATCATTAGTACAATACATTACTAGAGAAAATCCAAAGTGAAATCAAGAAAGTTGCCCAATATTTTGAACTTCCTTTAAAACAGAGCACTAAACTTTATTTTAATGTTGACACCAGTTTATCGATGTACGACTGTGCAGTTCTGTTCCAACTGTCCTGTATTATATTACTTGTTTAGATGCCTTAGTAATATTAACAGCATGAATGTCTTGTAGGTCAAGCCATGGTTGCAAGCATTTCATTGACCACTTTGCTTCCAGGTATTATTTCACCACATTTGCTGCATGTTTGGAATCACTGCTTTACTAAAAAATAAATCCTTGCCCAACAAATCTTGATCCTGAGGAAATGGCATAATAAACAATCGGGGTACCACCTATTTTCTGTGGACTTCCAAGAATATTTGCCTAGATTCGGCCTACACTTATAATGGTTCACCAGCATGTGTCACTGTAAGTGTTCAACATTCACCATAACACAAATTATCATTGATCGTTACCAAATGATTTGATTTAAACTTGTCTGTAAAAAGCACCTTTTGGTTTGGTTAGCTTTCCTAAGCAGGTACGTATCCACTGAAGCCACTTTGTGTTAATGGTATATTGTTCTCACCAAAGCCATAACCATCATACTTCTCATAATGAGGTATATTTAATAAATTTTAAAGCCATTCTATGATTAATATGATTACCCCTTTATGAGTAGTATAGCTTATCTGTTGTTTTGTCTTTTAGTCAGGAAACGTTATATGTAAAGTAAGCTGTCTTATGTACTACTGTTTCTTCATCTTGCAGATAATTGGTGCTTTAAAATCGTATGACATTGCAGGCTACCACTACCCTCGTCAGACCACTTCAGGATATACATATTGTCAAAATAAAGGTGACCTAAAAGTTACAAATGTCTAATCATGTTTATTGATAAAATTAGGAAACATTATTTTGTTGGTTTTGTAGAACGAGTTCTTAACTTAATAGTGTCGAATCTTAACTTCATGAAGCGATGAAAAACTTGTAAATATTCAAATATGAAGAAAAAATTGAACATGGACGGTTTGTTAATGTTGAATTTCTCTGTTAGTAAGCTATCATATCTCAGCTTTACACTTTTATTAATTTTAACTTCAAATATTTATCATTCTTTGTGAAATTTTTAGAAGTTGAAATAATATTTACTACCCACTGATATTTTACTTCTTTAGGAAAAGCTGATGGTGAAAGAAGATTAATCGAATCATCTCAAAAACTCTCTCCTTCTGAATATGTAGATGCTATCCAAGCCTTTGAGGTAAACATTGCTGTAATTATGGAAATAGTTAATAGAATTACTGTAAAATCCATATATTATAGGATTTCTCTCCTTCTATTGTATGCAAATGTTGTTAATCTACACTGTGGTTGGCTGTTAGACAACCAATTAGATGGTTCCACTCTAGTATAATTTCTCTAAAAGTACAGACATTCTTACTTTTTTCAGCAGTGATGTGGTAAATCTCAGGACAGAAATATCCATGATAAGTGTCTAGAAATGAAAGGGTACTCCATGTAACAGAGGTGAAACTTTATCTCAATAGGAGGTATCTGGAAACTATGAAGAGAATAATAATATTGGTAATAGTAAACATCTTGTTGATAACCTAGTTGTTAGTACTGATTTGAATGTTACCTCCAGAACAGTAAGATACACATTAACACAAAGTGGCTTCAGTTACAATGGTTATGGCTTTGTTCGGAACAATATACATGGTTATGGCTTTGTTGGAACAATATACATGGTTATGAATTTGGTGAGAACAATATACATGGTTATGGCTTTGTTCGGAACAATATACGTGGTTATGGCTTTGTTCGGAACAATAAACATGGTTATGGCTTTGTTCGGAACAATATACATGGTTATGGCTTTGTTTGGAACAATATACATGGTTATGGCTTTGTTCGGAACAATATACATGGTTATGGCTTTGTTCGGAACAATATACATGGTTATGGCTTTGTTCGGAACAATATACATGGTTATGGCTTTGTTTG